GGACGGGGGGGGGAGCCAATGGGAGCCAGTGGGCCAGGTGGGTGCCTGGACGAGAATGGCGGAAATCAAGGGCACCAGATCCGCCGGGGCGGCCGACGCACAGGGCGCCTCGACCGCGGAGCGAGCCTGGCTGTCCCACGCTTGTCCTAAGGAAGGAGGCCGCCAGGCCCGAGTTCCTCACACGCAGGAGGGAAACCTCGCGAGACTGGGCTCCCGATGCGGCGCCGGCGCAGTCCGCAGAAAAGGGCCGCACCGCCGTGATGCTCGGCGCTCTGCACCCGCGCCCGGCCCGGCTTCCCTTCCGCGCCCGCCCTGGCCCTCTGCGGAATGGACACACGGCCTCCTCGTTACCGACCTCAAAGCTAAACTCATTTTCTCTTCCGGCCAAGATGTTCCGCCCAAGGACTTTTCCACGGGAACCGCTCAACAGCCACCAACCTCCCGGCCGCGGGACCACCCACCAAACAGAGATTTCTGGTCGCGATTGGCTGAAGACTGCCAATAGTCGGCCCATTGGGGCGGGAGCCTCGCCGGCCCTCTGTTCTCATTGGTCACCGTTCGTGTCAATCAAGTACCTTTGGCCCTGCTGCCGGTGTCAGTCACCACGCTGGGTTCGGGCGCTCTGGGGGGGGAAGGGAAAATGCTCAGCACAAGCAGTCACTGGGGATCCAGCCCTTGCCACTCAGAAGGTCAAAACGTAAATCTGAGGGCTTTGTTCTCCATTCTTATTTCAGTAACTACTAAGCCACCAAGTGTTTTCCCTTTTCAACGTTTCCAAGTGATTCCAAGAATTCACCCTGTAGACCAGGCTGGCCTCAACCGCAGAGATCCGCCTGCCTCTGCCTCCCAAGTGCTGGGATTAAAGATGTGCACCACCAAGGCCGAAGACAAACTAAAGTAGGCTCATCATTATGTTGGTCTGTTAGTTTATTTACAGAAAAACTACCTAAACCACCGTTTTCAACTTGTGTGCGATTTGAGATGTATTTGTTTGCTTCTGTCCTGTATTTTCTAGTGCTGAACACTGTTTATGTGCCCATGGTCTTCATTACCCACCAGGCCTCCTGAAGCTCACCTGGATCATTCACCTGCTAAACTGAATGGCATCAAAGTCAGGAGTCTACTTTCCATTTAACCGAATGTTTGCACCAAATAAAATACCTGGTATTATTAAATATTAAATTATTAGATAATCTGAAAATAAACCATTTACATGAAGATGTTTGAAACAAAGGACAAAATTAAATTAGAAGGAATAAATTACAGAAAAATAACAAGACAATTTTTGTTTGTTTTTGTTGTTGCTTTTTTGAGACAGGGTTTCTCAGTGTTAACATCCCTGGATATCCTGCAAGTCTTTAGACCAGTCTGACCTCAAACTCAGAGATCCTCCTGTCTCTGTCTCCCACGAGCTGGAATTCAAGGTATGCATCACCACTGCCTGGTAATGTGAGATGATTTTTTTCAAAGGAACTTGATAGAAATAATAAATCGATAAAAATGCTCTCATTTAATATTAAGCTTATTCTTACAACACATAAATTTCAGACTCCTGGGAAGTAAAAGAAACAAACTATTACTACTTAGTTACGCCTTTAAAAGGGAAGTTTAAACAGACCAGCAAAGATAGTGCATTGGTTAAAAGCACTTCTATACCAGTCTGATCTCCACCACCTGCAACCTGCTAGAAACTCATAGTGGAATAAGAGACCAACCCCAAAAAGTTGTCTACTGACTACAGGTGCCATGACTTGTACATGCATGAGTGTACACACACACACACACACACACACACACACACACACACACACACACTTATAAACTTGATGTTTCTAATACATAAAATGAAATCACTTCAAGGAAAGCAAAGGTAACTTAAAGTTGGAAAACTCAATTTAGTCAATATAGACAAGACTGAAAAGCATATTTCTGTGTCAACTACTAAAATTAATCTACTTGGATCTTTGTGCAAGATTTTTTTTAATTCTTGAGCTAATTCCTGTGTTTTAAATTCAATGTGTGGTAATTATGGAATTTTTATTTTATAGCCAAGGTAGCTAGCAAAAACCTTCAGCATCCAAGAGAGAGAGACACACACACACACACACACACACACACAGAGAGAGAGAGAGAGAGAGAGAGAGAGAGAGAGAGAGAGAGAAGTTTGTAGTCACTCAAATTCAATGGGGCTTACGAACATCATGATTTTTTAGCTGCTTCTCCCATCTTCTCTTGGAAGCTAGCAAGACTTACAGCCTGCCTGCTGTGCTGTTTTCCTTTTAAACTAATGAGATGGCCTTGAAAAATAAAGGGGGGGAACATCAATTCTACAAAGTCAAGAAACTGATTTGGATTAACAATCTCAACAATCAAATTCCTCTTCAAATGACTCCTGAAAGGGGTCTGGCTTTGCACAGACCTGCAAGCAACTTACTTAACAACTACTATACCTGGATAGCTAATCCATAGAAACATGGCATCATCAGTAAGGTTGTTTTAAGTCACCAGGACTGTAGAAATTTGTTCTGGCAGCAATATTAAGTGAAAACATTTCACAAGTCAACAGAAGCCTAAAAAACTGTTGGCCTAACAAAGATGGATGTTTACCTGGAGAAAAACTCTCGAGAAGAAAAACTAAGTGGATTCCACGCAATAGAAATGGAGAAAAGATGAATGCATTCAGTGGCACAGTGAAGACAATATTTATTTCTCTGCTATAAAGGAAACAAAACATCATTACAAAGTTCTTGAAAATACAATTTAATAAGAATGCCATTTCGTTTTTTCCATTTTTGTTTAAATTAGAAACAAGATTGTTTTACATGTCAATCCCAGTTCCCTCTCCCTCTCCTCCTCCCTTACCCCCCACTAACACCCTACCATCCTATACCCTTTCTGCTCCACAGAGAGGGCAAGGCCTTCTATGGGGGATCTTCAGAGTCTGTCATAACCTTTGCAATAGCGCCTAGGCCCTCCCTAGTGTGTCTAGGCAGAGGGAGTATCCCTCTATATGGAATGGGCTCCCAAAGTCCATTACTACTCTAGGGATAAGTACTGATCAACTACAAGAAGCCCCATAAATTTCCAAGGCCTCCTCATTGACACCCACATTCTTGGGATCTGGATAAGTCCCATGCTGATTTCCCAGCTATCATTCTGGGGTCCATGAGCTCCCCCTTCTACAGGTCAACTGTTTCTGTGGGTTTCACTAGCCTGGTCTTGACCTCTTTGCTCATCACGTCTCCTCCTCTGCAACTGGAGTCCAGTTCAATTCAGTGTTTAGCTGTAGGTGTCTGCTTCAACTTCAAGCAGCTGTTGGATGAAGGCTCTAGGATGGCATATAAGTTAATCATCAATCTCATTATCAGGGGAGGGCAAGAATGCCATTCCTTTAAAAACTCATAATCCAAAATAACACTACATCAGGCTATAGTAAATGTAGTGGAGTACCACTCACATAACCTTTTCAGAATCAAGAAACTTATTCCTTCAGATTCCAAGAGTCCTGGCTACTGAAAAGTCACAGTTCAGTTTCTCTTGGGAAATTTCTCTCCACAAAGCAGATGCCACCAAAAGACTTCAATATGAAGGAGAGGAAGGCTTGTTGTTTTTTTTTTTTTTTCTCATACAAGGAAACCAAGAGATTTCTCCAACTTCATGGTTCACTATGCAACCCTCTAAAACTTCTGTCTCAGTTACCTCATAGTTCAACTTCTCCTTCTGCCCAATCTGCTCTTCCAGTCCCTTACATAATTTGTTTCTAAGAAGCCTTGTAGTCAACCTCATTTGCATTAATCTCTTTCATACTGTCATTCCTAAGCAATCTATCTAAGCTACAGAAATCTGATAGAATGTTTAAAAAAGAATATGAGAAACACATTGTTCAAGGAGAGCAAAGTAGTTCAAGGTTAGTGATTTATATTTAAAAGTGAAACAGTTAACTTACTGTGATGCTTAATTGTAATTGTCAATTTGATGGGATTTAAAGTCACCATGGAAACAAACCTGTGTATGTCTGGGAAGGCATTTCTAGATTAGGTTAACTGAGGTGGAAAGAGCAACTGTGTTCGTTTGAAAGAAAATGGCTCCCATAGGGCATGGTACTATTAGGAGGTGTGGCCTTGTTGGAGAAAATATGTCACTGTGTGGGCAGGCTTTGTACAACAGTCAGATGGCTTCCCATTGCCTGCAAGATGTTCCAGCACCACATCGCCAGCACACCACCATGCTCCCCTTCATGATCATAATGGACTGAACCTCTAAAACTGTAAGTGAGCCACCCTCAATTAAATGTTTTTTTTTTCATAAGAGTTGCCATGGTCATGGTGTCTCTTCACAGCAATAAAACCCAAACTAAGACAGCAACCATAAATGTAAATGGTGCCATTCCTTGGGTTCAAGTTGTGGACTGAATAAAAAAGAAAACCAAGGCTACTCCTGTCCCCACTGAGGGGGGATGTGAGCTTGGGCCCCTGTCTCAGGCCCGACTTCTGCTTGTCCACTCTGGGATCTCCTGGCCTGGGGACTTCAGGCATGTCAACTCGACACTCAGGTACCAAGCAACATTGAGTCTGCTAACATAACTGTGCTAGTCTCGCTCCCACCTACCAGGAGAGGGACCCACCTGCACCCACCGTGACCCATTGGGCCTGCTTACACCCACCAAAAGAGAATCTTAGACCAGGTTCTCTACCCACCAGGAGAGGAAGAGACCCCGCCTGCACCTATTGGAAGAAGGGATGGGAAGACAACAATATAAGAACACATTCAACAACAGAAAAACCAACATGATGCCATCAGAGTCTAGGGACTCTACACCAGCAAGACCTGAACATCCTAACACAGATGAAACAGAAGAGAACAACTCATAAAGATGATAGAGACCCTAAAAGAGGAAGTGAGAAAATCCAAAGAAAACCTTAAGCCCAACAAATCCCTAACACAAAATATCCAGGAAATATGGGACACCATGAAAAGGCCAAACCTGAAAATAATAGGCATAGAAGAAGATAAAGAAATCCACCTCAAAGGTACAGAAAACCTAGTCAACAAAATCACAGAAGAAAACTTCCCAACCTAAAGAAAGACATTCCAATGAAAGTACAAAAAGCTTACAGAACACCAAATAGTATGGACCACAAAAAAGTCCCCTCACCACATAATAATCAAAACCCCAAACATACAGAATAAAGAAAGAATTGTCAATAGAGGAGTCTAAAATGGCTGACAAGACACTTAAGAAAGTACCCGACATCCTTAGCCATCTGGGAAATGCAACTCAAAACTACTCTGAGATACCATCTTACTCCTGTCAGAATGGCTAAAATCAAAAACACCAATGACAATTTATGCTGGAGAGGATGTGGAGAAAGGGGAACACTCCTCCATGGATGGTGGGAGAGCCAACTCATACAGACACTTTGGAAATCAGTATGGAGATTCCTCAGGAAATTGGTAATCATTCTACCACAAGATCCAGCAATTCCACTCTTAAGCATATACCCAAAAG